AAATACCTGCTAGATCTCCCTCCAAGACTAGCAAATGTTTATTGTAAATTTAGAATTTGTAATGTAAAATTTCCTATTGAATGTGGTAGATGGAATAACATTCCAAGAGAAGATAGAAAATGTATTTTTTGTGACCTAAATGAAATTGGAGACGAATATCATTATTTATTTAACTGTAATGACCACCAGATAGTGCAAAACAGAAGAAAATTTATGTCGAGATACTATTTTGAAAGTCCTAGTACTTTAAAGTTTAATACATTATTTAATTATGTCAATAATGAAGAACTAATTTCACTTATAAAATTCCTTAAGCACATAATTGAGCGAATTAACACTGGCCATTAACACCATGATTTATATGTAAACTGTACTATATATATATGTATATAATTCTCTACACTGTAACCAGTTTGCGAGAAAAAAAACTTGTCATTGTCCGCGAGTTCGCGCATGCCACCGTGTACTGACATGACGCGTCCTCAGGTATTTGTATACAGGTAGCTCTATCGGAATACTGTGTCTAATAATAGATTATTGTAAACAGCCGAATTCAAGGCCGTGGCTATTGATACATGCGTTTTACGATAAAGACTCAAAATGCTTATTTCGCATTATTTTTATGAATTTAAAACAAATAATATGCTGTATGTAACACAAGATCGTACAATCATTACCAACAAGATTTTGAAGGATTTAATTTCCATTAATACTACCTGCGTCATGCCGTTACATGCTTTCTTACAAAATACACATCTTGATTTTGTTTTTCCTGCACATATGAATGGCAAAAATGATATACATCATTTTCGAATAGCATTTCTTACACGTGTATTGCGATCCTTACTTTCGATGTTTGCTACAGTCTTCCTGCATTTCAAACAAATGAGACTGTCTGCAACGATGAATCTTCCCGTATTTTCGGTAATTATTTGCGATAATAACAGTTCATTTTTATTGGCTTGGCTTTTTTTATTCTGACGCAACAATCCCACAATAGGTATTTTAGCATCATTTGTTGGGTTAAATTAGATATATAAAATCACTTGTGTCAATTGGA